TTGGGACGGTCTCTTGAACAAAAATGATCCCCAAGCTATTTCAGACTCCACAAAAAACGCAGCTCAAAATCAAATATGTCATTTGCCATTTCAGAGGAGGGGGGTGGAGGGGTTCTAAAAAAAAGAAGAATTAAGAGGAATAATAATATAGATTTTATTTTTACAAAACTGTCAATCAATTATTTTATTATTTTTAAGTTTGCCTGAATATATTCGCGTTGGTACGGCAGGGGAGTCATTTCAGGTTTTTTTTTATGGGGGGGGGGGGTGGAGGGTTGGCAATCCCAAAACCTGTTCGGCTTGTTAAGTTGTTCATTACTTAAGGCGCCACCGTAAATAACAATTTAAATAAAACCTGCAAAATTACCCAGATGACGTCCCTGTGGTACGGATATTTTATTTCTGGCAAAGGAATACACATTTCGAGTTTAAGCACACATCTTTTTTTTCATCGGGACCCGTGAGAAACTGATTTCATAACTGGCCGAATACATTAAATTGTATATAAATTTTTTAGCGTTCAGCTTGGACTCATCGCGTCTACTGAAGAAAGTGAAACTGGATTTCGCAACAGTTGGTTCAATGAATAGAAGTCCGAGGAGATGGCAGCTACAGAATGGCAAGATTAGAGCTGCCTTTAATTTGTTTGATGTTAAATTATTATGATCTGGCTGCAACACACATATGATTCAGATTTAATGGAAGGGTATGCTATACCACTTAGCTTTGTCGAGTAGTGGCTGTGTCTCGTAGTGGTGCCGGTTGGCCGAGCGGTCTAAACTGTGTCAATCCCAAGCAGGGTTTCTTTCAGCTATATCTCCGGTTGGGGGGGGGGATAGCAGTGCCCCCCCCCCCCCGGAAAGCCAAGTGCCCCTCAGAGCAAAAAATGTCCAACAATAAATCAACTGGAACTGCTGGGACTGCACCCCTCCCCCCCTCCCCCCCCCTGAAAAATATGAAATGCTTCCCCCGGTGAAAATTTCTGAAAGAAAAACTGATCCCAAGCTAGTCGTTTGGAGTTCGATTTCCCAGAAACAACGAGACAAGCAAAAACATCACTAGCCTTCAATCTTAGATGTCAACTCATCTTAGAGAAGGCAAACTCTTGAAATGCTTGAGATGGAGTCCGGTAGTGAGTATGCCATTGACGCAATGAACATTTCGACAACTCCTTCGACGCCAAATGCATAAAAACACTATTGGTCATCTTCTGACTGCATCCTGGTCTATCTCCATTCGTCTTGGCCAAGTCTTGCCACAGGATCGAATAGGCCCAGGACGAGAGGTTCGAGCCTGACGCACTGAATAACTCTCCCGTCACTTGAAACTAACTACAGCTCAAGACAAGGCCACTACTCAAGTCGTAAATTGTCTTAGTAATCTTCGCGTGAGAAGGGCGAACTTTTACTAACACCGTGTCTCCAAACATAGGGGCTACAGGGAATTTAACCAAAAAAAAACAACAACAAAAAAACTTCTATTCATTTTCTCTGTATTAAAAGCGGTGAAGTAACACGAGGTTGTAAAGACGTCTTTCGTGTTGTTATCAGCCTGTCATTTACTTTACCTGTCTTGATAAATATAATCTAACTTTTAAAATGAAAAAAAAAATATATAGACTAAAGTAAAAACATTGATTCCCTTTTACAACACACTCAATTAAGTTATTAAACCACACTCCATTTTTTTTTTACCTACGGAGTCGTTAAGTTGGAGAGAGCTGCGTCCAGTTGATAATTTTTATAGCCCCCCTGAAACACATTAGAATTTCCCGCCTGGCCCAACGCCTTAAGTGCTAGTACTTAATAATCAGTGAGCGGTCGGGTTTATTTGCATGGCTAACTAGGAAATAGAATATAACCGAGTCGCCGGATTGTGCAAAAGAAAACTTTGTTATTAAAATGCAAACTTGCTGACATCGGCTTAAAGCTTTCTCACGCTTTGCTAAAAAAAAGAAAAAAATAATAAATCTAAACGTGTCTTTGACTTCATCGAAAGCTTGGAACTTGGAATGTTGAAATAATGTGACGATTTTTGAAAAGAAAAATTAAAAATCTTCACCACGTATTTCCTGTTTAGTATAAGAAGCCCAGGCCTTTTCTCGATCTCCCTTCTCTTTTTGTGGAGGTTACAATTTAAATTGAAACCACAACCTATTTCCCTTATAATAGACCCCCCCCCCCAAAAAAAAAAAAAAAAAAAAAAAAAAAAAATAAAAATTTTTTTTTTTAATTTTAAAAATAATAATAATAAATCCGATAACAAAAAGCTGATGAATCCCATATGAATACACATAAATGTCTCTTTAAAAGATAAGCAAATTTCTCCTAAACAAATAAGCAGATTTCTCTTAAACAGACAAGCAAATGTCTCAACAGATAAGCAAAGTCTCTTAAACATATAAGCAAATGTCTCTTAGACATGTACGCAAATGTCTCTCAAACATATAAGTAAATTTTAATGTCTTTTAAACATGTAAGCAAATGTTTTTTTTTAAACAGATAAGCAGACAAAGGACAATAACATCGTGTTCTCAACACAGACAAGGGCTCCGACTCCTTTTTTTTTGTTTACCTTTCCTATTTTCCCTTTTTTTCCGTCCAGTCCACCTGTTGCCGGCCAGTGTTCCATCTAAAAGTGCATGCAAAGGCCACACGTCAGCTTAAACGTTGCAGGCAATTTACAACAATTAAATCCCATGTGGTCTACTGAAATCGCCCCAGCATCAAAGACAAAAGATGGCACGCCACAGTGATTTAACCACGGCAATCATCTAAAACTCGAGTAACCACGCATCATAAAAAGAGAGGTTTTTTTGGTCAGCTTTCAAAAAGTTTGCTATTTTTCAATCGTCACTCAGCTCGGTAAGTAACGGATAAGTAAGGTTACCGGTGTAAAACAACCTTTTCCCACTTTTTTTTTTCCAACTGACCCGCAAGCATTCGAAGCTGTTGGGGGCAGCCTTAAAGCATACCAATGACCAGCGATTTTAAATGTAAACTTACCGTAACACTGATTTGAAAACCTTTGTACTAATTATTATATCTTATCCTTATTCTGAGCAAAAGACGATATTTCTTTATTTCCCTTTTTTGCTGAAATTTACAAGAACCGCAACATTACAATTGAGTAATGAATTAGCATTGAAATGTGCTATTTTTAGAGATTGTAAATTTTTACCCCGAAATGTGAATTAAGTATTGTTTTAAAAATAAATGTGACCCCCCGATATAATAAGGATGAATATGGATGGAGAATACGAACCAACCATGAATTGTACAGTCTATATATCAGGATACCACGATAGTAGCAGAAATATAAAAAAAAGGGGGATGGGCTACGCTGGGCAGGACACTTAAAAAGAAGGCCAAATGACAGATGAGTGAAGAGGGTGCATCACCAAAGCCCAAGAGGAAAACGGCTCAAAGGCAGACCTATGCTTAGATGGATGGATGATGTGGGGGAAAGATCTTCAGCAGTTTGGAATCCAAGCAGGGAAAAGAAAGGCATTAGTTAGGTCTGAGTGGAAGGAAGTGGTGATGCAGGCCAAAGACCTACATGGGCTGTAACGCCACATAGATGGAATGATGGTCTGACTGGAAGGAAGTAGTGAGGCAGGCCAAAGCCCTAGATGAGCTGTAACGCCATAGGGATAGATGGATGGATGGATGTAATACGGTCTTGACATTGATCCCGAAGTTTCCTGTATTCATTTCAGAATTATTATTTTTTTTTAAAATTAAATTTCAAAGTCCGTGTTAAATGAATATACAACTTTTACAACTTATCATAAATTTTAATATTTTAATAAATTACCTAATCTTTCTATTCAACCAGACGACATCCTCTCAGAGCTCATGATGAAATTCATCGCCACGTCCGTTCTTGTGCTTGCCACTCTTGCACTCATTGAGACTTGTGAATACAACGGTGTCACCTATAGTGTAAGCATTCAATGTGTATCTGTACATATGACTTTGTAACTTAATTCATTGGCTGATCGAGCGGAGCGGTACAGGAAAATGTGTTTAAGATAGTTCGGAAAAAAAACAACAGAACACCACACACGTTCATTTCGGATTTGTGATAGCCCACCCGATTTTTTCAATGTACATAAGCGGACATTATTCAATAAACACATTAATGGATGGCCACCTGGGACTAAATTTTCTTTTAGGATCTACAAATGCAATCTTGAGCCTCAAATTTCATAAGGGCCTGAATGAATTATGAAGACTTTAAAAAAAGAACCAATAAAATTAATTCACATTTAAGCGTTTAAAAACTCATTAATTTAAAAAAAAAATACTTTCTATGTTTTGATGTTACAAAAATTATTAAAAACAGTTTCACCATTTTTTTAAAACGATTTTTATAACGTCGCATGTATTTAATTGAACAAGAGTAGCTTCAACCTTTCTAAGGTCATTGGCCTTACTTATTGGAAATGATGTTGGTTGTTTTATACTTCGGAAAACGGTGTCCTTAAAAGGGCATATAACCAGCGGAGTTTCTTAAATAATCTCCCTTTGAAGAACTTTATATTTAAAAAAAAAAAAAAAAAATACACTAGAATAAAAAAAAAATAAATGATGTTGGTTGTTTTATACTTCGGAAAACGGTGTCCTTAAAAGGGCATATAACCAGCGGAGTTTCTTAAATAATCTCCCTTTGAAGAACTTTATATTTAAAAAAAAAAAAAAAAAGAATACACTAGGCTTACAAAAAAATAAATTATTTGCTAACTGCATCACTAAAATTATGTACATTAAATCAAAATGAAATGACGGACAGACAGGTAGATAGATGGATAGATGGATGGATGGATGGATGGATGGATAGATGGATGGATGGATGGATGGATGGATGGATAGATGGATAGATGGATGGATGGATGGATAGATGGATGGATGGATGGATGGATGGATAGATTGGATAGATAGATTAGATAGATAGATTAATAGATTGATTGATTTTAATTGTTAGATTGTTCTCCACAGCCAGGACAGAGGTATCAGAAGGACCCTTGCACGACATGTGTCTGTGATGAAAACAACGAGATCTTTTGTAGTAGCATCCAGTGTGGCTGGCCACGGTGTCAATTCAACGTTCGACCTGTTACAAAACCTGGCAATTGTTGCCCCTCGTGCCCAGCAGTCTAGAGGGTAGTTCTGCCAATTACTATATCATTTATGGGCCTCTTCTGTCCAGCATTCTAGAGATTAGTTTACCAATTACTTTATCATTTCAGGGACCTGTTGCTTCTTCTGTCTCGCAGTCTAGAGATTTCTTTTGCCAATTACTATATAATTTCTCGGACCAGTTGCCTCTTCTGTAAAGGAGTCTAGAGATTAGTTCTGCCAATTACTATATCATTTCTGGGATATGTTGCCTCTTCTGTACAGCAGTCAGGAGATTAGTTTCGCTAGTTACTATTACTACTCTCCATTTTCCCAGCATATTTTTTTAAGTAGTAAAATTGGCATTAATTTATAGGCTCAAAGATAATATGTATAATTTAATCCAAGAACTTTTCCATTTATTTGAATCATTTTTTTTAAAAAATCATCTTATCTTACAGTCCTGATAGCTTCTAATCTTTGAGGGTCAGTTTATGAGAGATTATTCTATATTACAGAAATTCTCTTAATGCTCTTAATAACTTTTTGTATGTTATTTAAGATGTGCAAACGTAAAAAGTTGGGCTACTGACAAATGAACTTTAAAAAACAAAACATTTGACTATATGTTCACATTTTTAAAGGCCATTTTTGTATGGATCCTGAAGGAATCTAGTTAAAATAGTATGAATAGAGGTTTAATACGATAATGCTAAAAACATGTCAGTTTTATTGTAGTTCTTTTGAGTTATTTTTTTAAAAAGTGTTTTTAGGAATTTTTTATTAAAAGACTGTCTTACGAAGACGAGTCTAAATGCATTAAAAGAGTAGACAATTATTTTCATAAAATTCATTTAGCAGAGAAAGTACGGTACTTGCGGACAAACCCCGTTGATTTGCGAGTAGAGAGAAATTTATACTTCAATTGATGAGTACGCATGACTCTTTTACTTGTGTCTTTTTATTTGAAGATCAGTAAATGTCCATGATGTGGAGTTTTAAATTATTATTTTAAAACATTTTTAATTTTTATCCTCAGATAATCTCCAGATTATCCCCAGGATATCATCACGACGTTACGTCCACTTCCCTGATAATAACGTGGACTGCAGTCAACAAGCTGGGAAATAAATAGGCCTATAACTTAGAAAAATTAGAACAGTTTATGTTTGTATATCATTATTAAATTTTTTGATATTGTCAACACGGAAGCACATTAAAAGGATAAGGGACCTCATTTCCTTGTTATTTTAGTGTGTCTATAAAAATGTCACGTTGTCTACGTGTGTCTCGTCTTGTTTAAAAAAACAAAAAACAAAAAACGAATGTATTTTTTTTCCCCTTATACCCTCATTATTTTTGAGTTGTGTATCAAAACAAAATTGTATTTAATATGTTACGTGTATAATATTAAAATTAAATGTCTGTATTTATGAGTAGACTATCCGAATGCACTTCTTACTTGAGGTTGAGGGTGGAAAAAAAAAGGGGGGGGTGGGAGGAGTTTGGGAGAATTGTAAGTGTTATAAAACCAAAATGAAAAGTTAACGTATCTTAAAACATAAGAGCTTTATTTTTAAGTCCAGCGAATAAATCAATATGATTGGGCGCAAAGGGGGGAAAAAAAAAGGGGGGGGGGGGAGGAGTTTGGGAGAATTGTAAGTGTTATAAAACCAAAATGAAAAGTTAACGTATCTTAAAACATAAGAGCTTTATTTTTAAGTCCAGCGAATAAATCAATATGATTGGGCGCAAAGTAAAAAGAAAATAATAAAATGTAATACATATATATTATAGTCGGCGCTCAAACTATTTCGACGCAACCCGTCGTATTCACCAAACATGTCTGTCTTTAACCTTTCCCGGACTTTATATCCTGTGACCTTGCTGTCAAGTTGCCATATCCTATTTGGAGAAGCTAGTTAGGACCATACCCCAACCCCCCCACCCCCCTTTTTTTTTTTTTTTGCCTTTAAACATCCTTTGAGAAGGACTCTCGTGTTAACTACCAGGGATCTGACTCGTACTTTAGGTAAGAGATGGGAGGAATGAAGACAGCCTCTGACCTCGCCTACAGAAGAAAATGAATCTTCTAAGGACAAAATTCAACTGAACTGGGGCTTGTTATTCTTGAGATATCGTGATCAGAGAGTCAGTCGGGGATAGAGTGGTATTTGGCTTATAAACCAAAAGTGTTGCTTTCTGCGGGTTCAGCCAGAATGATGATCATGGAACATACTTAAAAACAAGGGTCTCAAAATGAAATTATCCGGGGAGTGGCAGGAGATGGAGTCTGAGTCGAGACCAGGCCGCAACAAGTATTCCGCACATAAAAAAAAAAAAAAATGATTTCCAATTCAATAAAGTACATCTGTCACAATCTGATCAACCTTTTTTTTAAATAGTAATAACAAATAAAAACATTAAGGGTTCTCAAGAACTAGGCCGTTACATTGCACATCATTGTTAACGGCATTATATCCTTGACAAGAAAATAAAGTTCCCGGCAATCTAAAGTAAAAGTATTCAGCTCATAAATGCTATGAAAATAACGAGCTTCTGGTAAGACGAAAAATAATAAAATGCAATAAAAATAAAAATATGCCGATTTCCACTGCCGATTTTAAAACTGAAATGTGTTCAAACAGATGGCAGGGGCAGACAATATTGATGAATGATTAATGCGAAGGGAGACGATGCTATTGTAGGGAGAATGCATTTTGTTTTGTCTTTTTTTTATCGTAGAAAAGGCCGCTTTGACTAGCCCCATTTTGAAAATGACCAAGCTGACAGGCTTGGAAATTGCCTCAATCGTAACGCGTACACACTAGAGCACACTCAACCTGTGGGTCGCAACCCCTTTGGGGGTCTCACGACCCTTTCAAAGGGGTCACCCAAGACCATCGGAAACACATAGAATCAACAGTTATAAAGTATCACCGAAAATAATTTTGTGGTTGGGGGTCGCCACAACATCAGGAACTGTATTAAAGAGTCAGAAAGGTTGAGAACCACTGCACTAGGGGCAATTTTAATAAGGATTATTTGATACTGTGTCACATTGCTAAAATTTACGAAATAATGGTTGTGCATTACCCACTAACTGACTTTTTAAACTATTGATATATAAAAACGTTCTATTCACGTGTTTAAGACTATGTTCCTCCATTAAGATCCGTGCAATCTACTAAAAACACCGGCTAAAACATAATCAGAAAAAGGCGACGCCGGGTGATTAAACCACACCATCAGATCAAGTGTTAAAACAAAGGCACGTTATAAATAGAGAGCTTACCCTCAACCCGAAACAGTTTGATGAATAATTTTGTGACGCCCAATTTGGTAAGTAGCTTAGAGGAAACTTTTTACCTATGAAACTTTAGTATTCTCACTTTAGCTGTACCGTAAATATTCTGTTTTTCTAGGTTTTAATCTCAGTCATAGATAAATCGAACGTTAAAAGATTTAAGCGATTTAATATGAACTCCTCATAACAATGTGTCGTATGTTGTGCAATCATCATCATATATTTATCATATTAAGCTCCAGACGAAACTTTCGGGCCGTAACCTAACCCAACGTTATAGACAGCGCGTTCTTGAAATAAACATGAGAATAAGAGTTCGATCGGTTTATTTCAGACATGGTAAAATTTTACACAATAAATTTGAATTTGATTCTGAATGAAAAAATGACACGATTACATTAAAAATGTATTTTTTTTTTTTTTTTTAAATTTTCTTTAGAAAGTTTCTCAAATCCAAAAACCCTCATGATGAATCTGATCGCCGCCTCTCTGCTTGTCCGGGCCCCCGTTGTCCTGATAGAGAGCTGCAGATACAAGGGCAATGACACGATTACATTAAAAATGTATTTTTTTTTTTTTTTTAAATTTTCTTTAGAAAGTTTCTCAAATCCAAAAACCCTCATGATGAATCTGATCGCCGCCTCTCTGCTTGTCCGGGCCCCCGTTGTCATGATAGAGAGCTGCAGATACAAGGGCGTCAAGTAATCTTGTAAGCATCAAACGCATGTCAGTACAGATAAGTGTGTAACGTAATAAAAAATGCCTTTATATATTAAAAAAGATGAAGAAATAAAAAGAATAAAAGAATATTTAAAAAGCAGGCGACAGGTAAATTTTTTTATATTGTTTGTAAGGTGAACATTTTCCAAGATTTTCTCATTTTTATAATTAGACATTAATCAAAATAGACTACACCTCACGGGCCTTATTTTGCTGTTTAATTGAAACATTACGGCTAAGAGCCACGTAGTTTAGAGAAATTTGAAAAACAGTTTAGATTTAAATCAAAGCAACCAAGCCATACAGACTGCATTCAATGGTCAATTGAGTTGTTACGTTTACATGTTTCGCTCTTATGAAAAACTTGCCGTTTATTTAGCACGCCAAACAATAGCGCCCGCAATGCGTGAACTTCCCATCCACTAATGTCTCTTGACAGAACACACATTCAAACAACGCGCACTTGATTAGAACCCCAATTAGTGCTACCCCGTAACGGTGCGCCACTTCCCCAAAACTATAAATGAATAGCTTAATGTACCATCCCCTTTTACGCCGTACTTTTATTACTCCAAATATCTCCGTAAATTAAAAGAACATTTTTACGCACCAAAGGCAAGAAGTATCCATTGGTGTCTTGAGAAGTATCCATTGGTGTCTTGAGAAGTATCCATTGGTGTCTTGAGAAGTATCCATTGGTGTCTTAAGAAGTATCCATTGGTGTCTTAAGAAGTATCCATTGGTGTCTTAAGAAGTATCCATTGGTGTCTTGAGAAGTATCCATTGGTGTCTTATGAAGTATCCATTGGTGTCTTAAGAAGTATCCATTGGTGTCTTAAGAAGTATCCATTGGTGTCTTAAGAAGTATCCATTGGTGTCTTAAGAAGTATCCATTGGTGTCTTAAGAAGTATCCATTGGTGTCTTAAGAAGTATCCATTGGTGTCTTGAGAAGTATCCATTGGTGTCTTATGAAGTATCCATTGGTGTCTTAAGAAGTATCCATTGGTGTCTTAAGAAGTATCCATTGGTGTCTTAAGAAGTATCCATTGGTGTCTTAAGAAGTATCCATTGGTGTCTTAAGAAGTATCCATTGGTGTCTTAAGAAGTATCCATTTGTGTCTTGAGTTGTATCCATTGGTGTCTTAAGAAGTATCCATTGGTGTCTTGAGTTGTCTAGTGTGCTCGGTTCTTTGTTATATTTTCATTTCTACTGTTAGCTGAAGAAGGCTTTATGCCGAAACGTCCTTGTTTTTTTGTCCTGCTCTCTTATTCAAGCTTCCACATACCTCGTTTTGCTATTTCATTCCTTTACTAAGCTTGAATGCAGTCCTTTAATTTAAATTTTCTTGGGCTGAATAACGACTGTGGAAGGAGGGTGGGGGGGGGGGGCGTTGAAATGTAGAATATAGAACAAAAAAGAAAAGTCTCTGAAATTGTCAAACTTGAAAATGGTTACGACATTTATCCCACCAGTGACACGCCATAGTTCTTAGTTAAGTCTACTGGAGTAAACGTCTCTGAGGGAGCGTTCATAAAGGATATCTACAAAGACCGGGAGGGGGGAAGGGGTAGCTGAGGAGGGGTTGCGGACGTCTGCAAGCTAACATTGTTTGTTACATACTGCTTGAGGACCACTCCGTGTGTTCAAGCAGTTATTCATGTTCAAATTGCGGAGTCCCTCTATGGTTAATCTATTTGTTAAATTGCGAGCAAATCGTAATCTTAAACCACCAAGAAGTTTGAGTTAAATTCATAAGGGATATCACTCTATATATTTGTTTTTGCTATTTATCAACACACGATTATGCGCCTTGGAAAAAGTTTCCTTCAATTCTCAGGTCTGATTCAATTTAATCGCATGATTTCTATTATTAGACTTGTTACGAAATCTATTGACTCTTTTGCTCTTGATAAACTTCCTGGCATGTCGTACTATATGTGGACGTATGTGGACGTACGTGGACGTAAGTTCACGTATGTGGACGTATGTGGACGTATGTGGACGTATGTGGACGTATGTGGACGTCCGCTAAGGTGGGGCTGTGGAAGGTAAGCCACATGCTGGAAAACTGAGCCCACGGCAGGAGATGGTTAAACGGATGTGAATCTCCGCGGACGTCTTTTATGGACAACAAATGATAACGATAAAATGAGAGGAGCATAGCTCTAACACTAGCCATAACCCTAAGCATAACCATAACAACAACCCCTAAACATTACCCTAACTACAGTCCTAACCATAACCATAACCCTAAAAGTTACTCTAACCATGACCATATCCGTATGCATAGTCCCTACATATAACCCTAACCCCTTAACCTTACAATAACCCTAGGCCAAACCATAACCCTAACCATAACCCTAACCATAACCCTAACCATAACCCTAACCATAACCCTAACCATAACCCTAACCATAACCCTAACCATAACCCTAACCATAACCCTAACCATAACCCTAACCATAACCCTAACCTTAACCGTAACCAAACCCTAACCATAACCCTAGCCATAACCCTAACCATAACCCTAACCATAACCCTAACCATAACCCTAACCATAACCCTAACCATAACCCTAACCATAACCCTAACCATAACCCTAACCATAACCCTAAACCTAACGCTAACCATAACCCCAAGCCTAACAATAAACTTAAACCCTACGCTAACCATAACCCTTAACATAACCATAAAACCTAACCGTAACCATAACCTTAACCGTAACCTTAACCATAACCCTAACCACGGTCGGATTAACTCAGCCCCGCCTTGTCGCAGCGATGCTCAAATAAATGGGTTAGATAGTACATTTGAGCTGTTCAAATCTGTAGTTGCAGTCCAAATTTAGGGAGCAACAACAACAGCTTGTTTCTGTGTAATTATCTTTTCAAATATAGAGCATGCTAGAAATGTTAGAAGTATTACAGTGACTAAAAGTCATCAGTTAGCTTCTCGCTATTTTCTACCTATTTAACCGTATTTTATTTGCCTATCCCAATATTGAACACGTTATCTCTAATAAACAGTAACATGCTAACATTTGACAACAGTTATTAATAAAAGTTTGCATCATGGGAGAAAAAAACTGATCGTTTTATGTCAACCGTCGCTAGATAACTTTTGACATTTGGATGTCAAACTTTGATGGATACTTTGATGGTAAACATTTGTATTGCAGGTCATATTTGTTTGGGATACTCCCAGAGCAGAAATGATAAAATATGGAGGTAATTACGAGATGAAATATGGAGGTAATTACGAGATGAAATATGGAGGTAATTAAGAGATGAAATATGGAGGTAATTACGAGATGAAAAATGGAGATCATTACGAGATGATATATGTAGGTCATTACGGAATGAAATATGGAGGTCATTACGAGATGAAATATGGAGGTCATTACGAGATGAAATATGGAGGTAATTACGAGATGAAAAATGGAGATCATTACGAGATGATATATGTAGGTCATTACGGAATGAAATATGGAGGTGATTACGGGATAAAATATGAAGGTCATTACGGGATGAAATATGGAGGTCATTACGAGATGAAATATGGAGGTCATTACGGGATGAAATATGGAGGTCATTACGAGATTAAATATGGAGGTCATTACGAGATGAAATATGGAGGTCATTACGAGATGAAATATGGAGATCATTATGAGATATGGAGGTCATTACGAGATGAAATATGGAGGTCATTAGGGGATGAAATATGGAGGTCATTACGGGATGAAATATGGAGGGCATTACGGGATGAAATATGGAGGTAATTACGGGATGAAATATGGAGGTCATTAATGGATGCAATATGGAGGTCATTAAAGGATGAAATATGGAGGGCATTAAGGGATGAAATATGGAGATCATTACGAGATGAAATATGGAGGTCATTACGAGATGAAATATGGAGGTCATTAGGGGATGAATTATGGAGGTCATTACGGGATGAAATATGGAGGGCATTAAGGGATGAAATATGGAGGTCATTACGAGATGAAATATGGAGGTCATTAATGGATGCAATATGGAGGTCATTAAGGGATGAACTATGGAGGGCATTAAGGGATGAAATATGGAGGTCATTACGGGATGAAATATGGAGGTCATTAATGGAAGCAATATGGAGGTCATTAAGGGATGAAATATGGAGGTCATTACGAGATGAAATATGGAGGTCATTACGAGATGAAATATGGAGGTCATTACGAGATGAAATATTGAGGACATTAAGGAATGAAATATGGAGGTCATTACAATAAGAAAAATGGACACATAAAATATGACGCCTTTATGATATAAAATACCCCGACGCTTAGAGAGTCATTAATTTTAATAGTCATTTAAATAAACATGTAAATAATTTGGGAAATAAAAGAACGTGATGCGTCTTAGTGAGAAAGTTGCAGAGTTCATCTAAAATTGAAATGGGCTGTATGTTGTCGTAGGGTGTCCACGCCCAAATAATCATGAAGGCAACCTTTTAATAAATCAACAGTACGGTGAACTTGATGTACCGGCCCAACGGCTTCCCATTTCAAGTGCACTCCTATACAAGGGTTTCCATTTCAAGTGCACTTCTATACAAGGGTTTCCATTTCAAGTGCACTCCAATACAAGGGTTTCCATTTCAAGTGCACTCCTATACAAGGGTTTCCATTTAAAGTGCACTCCTATACAAGGGTGTCCATTTCAAGTGCACTCCTATACAAGGGTTTTCCAATTCAAGTACACTCCTATACAAGGGTTTCCATTTAAAGTGCACTCCTATACAAGGGTTTCCATTTCAAGTGCACTTCTATACAAGGGTTTCCATTTCAAGTGCACTCCTATACAAGGGTTTCCATTTCAAGTGCACTCCTATACAAGTGTTTCCATTTAAAGTGCACTCCTATACAAGGGTGTCCATTTCAAGTGCACTCCTATACAAGGGTTTTCCAATTCAAGTGCACTCCTATACAAGGGTTTCCATTTAAAGTGCACTCCTATACAAGGGTTTCCATTTCAAGTGCACTTCTATACAAGGGTTTCCATTTCAAATGCACTCCTATACAAGGGTTTCCATTTCAAGTGCACTCCTATACAAGGGTTTCCATTTAAAGTGCACTCCTATACAAGGGTGTCCATTTCAAGTGCACTCCTATACAAGGGTTTTCCAATTCAAGTGCACTCCTATACAAGGGTTTCCATTTCAAGTGCACTTCTATACAAGGTTTTCCAATTCAAGTGCACTCCTATACAAGGGGTTTCCAATTCAAGTGCACTCCTATACAAGGGTGTCCATTTCAAGTGCACTCCTATACAAGGGTTTTCCAATTCAAGTGCACTCCTATACAAGGGTTTCCATTTCAAGTGCACTCCTATACAAGGGTTCCATTTCAAGTGCACTCCTATACAAGGGTTTCCATTTCGAGGTTTTAAATTCTCCAAAAATTATCATTAGCATGAACTATTCATTGGTTCATTACGTGGTTATTTCACTTCTCACAAATACCACGAGCAGGGTTAGGATTCTTGAAATAAGATCTTTATCTATCCGTGATCCAACAAATCAGATCAAAGTGAGCGGACCGAAAGCAACAATGTGAGCACCCTTCAACGGGGCCAGCCGGCCCTAACAATTGCGGGGCCCTATGCGAAACGGAGTGCGCGGGGCCCAGTCTGGGTAGGGATAAGGATAATAAGTGAAAATTAAGATTTTGTATTAGATAATAAAGTGCGGGGCCCACTGCGGCCAACCCTTCAATGCTGACCATAATAATGTAACCTTTTAAAAGACCCTTCATCCAAATGGTTAGAGACACATATTTTTTTTTCCGTGGGTACCTTTTTAAAGTTTGTGTGTAAACGTTCTGTTTACAGTAGACACGTGCTGCGGTAAGTCGTAAATAACAATCCAATTATACAATTGTCAAGCAGCTGATTGCTGCCTCAAGGACAAATGGTCGTGAGTAAAACTGTATAAAGGGATAGTCCTGTGGATTCCTTGTATTCGATACAGATTTCAAGTTCTGGTAAAATTAGGTAAATATTTAAAACATTCTGTAGTTCTCATTGGTTCTGTGTTACACATGGCATGTTGACAGAAATAGTTAGCAACGTACAATAGGACAATTTGAATAATCTTTCATTACGTTTTAAAATGTATTTTGCTTAACTAAAGCGGAAAAATAAAATTGTTAGATATTTTCATAATTTAAGCCATTCAAGTAAGTAAACTGAGGAAGCAGACTAAGAGTATACAATTTTTAAAAAATGTATGACTTTTAAAATCATTTGCGTTAAACTTCACCTCCGCATGTGCTTTTAATGCGTCATAATTTCTTTGGGTTTTTTCTGAAATAGTTGATGTAATAAATCTGCGGTTTAATAGCGGGTGGGTCCTTAGAACATTAATATAGTACAGGATCGCGACAACAATGTGCCGCAACGCTAGTACAGGGGCGCGACAACAATGTGCCGCAACGCTAGTACAGGGGCGCGACAACAATGTGCCGCAACGCGCCTTGGGGAGGTTGGGGTCAAGGGTGGGGGTGGAACTTATTGGGATTCTTATAAAATGTTTTACTTGATTGTAGGGGTTATCAAATCTTCAACCCTAACCCCCATTACTCGATGTTACAATTTATAAAGGATTTATTCGAAAAAAAAAATGTTTTTAAGTGTAGTATAATTGCTCCCTTGATATCGTTATTTATATTTGTTATATTTATTTTAAGTTTTCAAATGAAGACGCAACTCACTTAGGATTTCAAAATGTGTATTTTTCCCGCTTTACATTTCAGAAAGGAAATCAACAATTTCTCGAGTCTCACAGAATTCCAAGATGAAAGCCGTATATATGTCGCTGGCGGTGTTGGTTACATTAGCCCTAACTGAGGGATGTTACTACGACGGCGTTACATATTTGGTAGGTAAATGTACACAGTCCACACTATTCATTTAGTTAAATGTACACAGTCCACGCCATTCATTTAGGTAAATGTACAAAATGCACACCACTCATTTAGGTAAATGCACATAATCCACACCACTCATTTAGGTAAATGCACATAATCCATACCACTCATTTAGGTAAATGTACACAAGCCACACCACTTATTTAGGTAAATGTACACAATCTATACCACGCACTTCCCATGTTTTTGCTTTAAGTTTTTCCAAGGCCACCATTTCTGTTGCAAGGAAGGCAGACGTGTCATGGCAGGACATGTGGCGGCTGTGTAAAAAAAAATTAAAAAAAATTAAAAGTACTCAACAACCAATCTGCTAAATCATAGCTACAAATCAGGAAAAGAGATTGCAAGTTGTAAGAAATTTTGTATATAACAATCTACAGCACTACGTAACCTCTATGCTAAGTCAGTATCCATAACTCAAGCGTAGATTCCACCGTAAAATCCCCCCTGCGACCCCCCCCCCACACACACACATCGCTCACCCCAGCTTGAACGTAAATTCACCCCTAAATTTAACTAAGTCAGTATCCATAACCCAAGCGTAGATTCCACCGTAAAATCCCCCCTGCGACCCCCCCCCCCACACACACACATCGCTCACCCCAGCTTGAACGTAAATTCACCCCTAAATTTAGACCTCTCTAATGTAAGTGTGAATCTTGAAACCTCAAATCCATGACCTTAACGGCTAACGTGAAACCTATCAAATCAACATGAAGACGCGCCTTGTCGATTAAGTAAATGCTGCTTCAATGTCTACACAGCTACCAGTGACAGAGCCGTGTTCATAGACCATGTGTTTACAGTCTACTTCATTAGAGTTTCAGCGCTCACCTTGATCTTAAAAAGCTCACTTTTAATTTCAACGGACAATTTGATATTCAAAGGTTACTTCGATTTTCAGCCAGGTGACCAGTACAACATGGATCCATGCACGTGGTGTACGTGTGGACAAGACAATGTTCCATTGTGCATGGCGGCCTGGTGTCTTATGCCGCAATGTGAGGACCATGTCACAGCAGTTAGAAGGGACGGAGAGTGTTGTCCTCGGTGCCCTGAAGGCAGGTCAGTTCCAAGTTAGAATGGACGGAGAGTGTTGTCCTCGGTGCCCGGAAGGCAGGTCAAATCCAAGTTAGAAATGACGGAGAGTGTTGTCCTCGGTGCCCTGAAGGCAGGTAAGTTCAATGAGATGACAATGTCCAGGAAAGTAGAAGGGACGGAGAGTGTTGTCCTCGGTGCCCTGAAGGCAGGTAAGTTCCAAGTTAGAATGGATGGAGAGTATTGCCGTCAGTGCCCTGTAAGCAGGTAAGTTCCAAGTTTAAATGGACGGCAAGTGTTTGTCCTCAGTGCCCTGTAGGCAAGTTAGTTCAATGGGATGGCAATACCCGGAAGTTTGAACAGACGAGAAGTTCTGTTCTCGGTACTCGTTAGGCAGGCTTGTAGGAAGGCTTGTAGGCAGGCTTGTAGGCAGGCTTGTAGCATCTCTTGTCATATCTATACCTTATTTGTATCATACTTTGTATATTCACATGACAGTTTTTCCACAATTTTCCCCATCAATAGACCATAAACATTTCTTTCAGACTGTTGACCAAATGTTTTGTTTTTGGAACGAAATTTTATCCGATCAGAAACAAGTATGCTAGAAGTTAAAAAAACAACACACAGACACACAAAAAAAACGGTTCTTACAAATCCATGGACTTCAGACTGTCTCTAATACTGGGCCTGGTTAGTGGCTTCTCATACGGACATCTTCAGTATGGCTTCAACTTCACCCAAGAATCAGATTAATTGACAGCATCGTTTAAACATTTTAAATATCTTGATTTTATTCTCTTAATGTTAAGATAAAGGAATGTTGAGAATGGAATTGTTTCACTAGTTTACATGATATTTTAACGTTCTCTTTATTCAGGGAGATGAAGCCGTAATCCAAGGGAACCCTCCTAGCAAGGGGACATTCCGATCAACCTCAACAAGAAAGAAAGCCGCCTCTATTTCATGTTTTAAAATTGATATGTGAAAACATTTAATTAAAATTGTATCTTATTTATTTTCAAAGTCTGAACCATTTTCGTCAAAACTTACCTGTTTTCTTCGTCATTAAATCTCTCTCTCTCTCTCTCTTTATATATATATTTCATGAACATTGAAATTAAGGAAAATAAGGAAGTTTTGATTATGTATACAACAGAATAACATTAAGAAATAGTATACACAGAACAAAAAAATATATTGTTGTTTTTCTGTGATACGAGTAGACACAGTTGTCAAAAAATCGGATCAAATCAACCTTGAATTAAGTAGAGTGCCAGTGATTTGTATTTGTGCGCACACTTGTGTTTCCGGGTTCACTGAATTGATTTACTACGCTCAGTGGGTAGCAACGATTCATCCTGAACAACTATTTGCTAATGTTAATGGTGTACGTTAGGATGATCCCACCCCCTGCTAATCTTAGCATTCATGCATGACCACCTCCTCACCCGCGCACACTTTCAGCATGCGGCTCACCTTCCACAACCCCAGGTCATCGGAAATCCACATACGTTCACATATAGAACGAAATGACAGATTAAGATTATCAAGAGCAAATTATAAATGACTTTCTTAACAAGTCCTTTAATAGAAATCATTCGATTAAAGTCAATCAGACCTGAGAATTAGCTGTTCAAAGGCCTATACTCATGTGTTGGTAAATAGCAAAAAAAAAAATAGAGAGTGATATCCCTTAAGAATTTAGCTCTTAACTTCTTGGTGGTTTAAGATTACAATTTGCTCGCAATTTTACAAATAGATCAGACATATAGGATATCCGCAATGTCAAAATGGTCAACTACTTAACACACGGAGTGGTCCTCAAGCAGAATGCAACAAACAATACAAGCTTGCAGGCGTCGGGTATATCCTTTACACAGTCCGCAGTTGTCCGCCTTTGAACGACGCCCTTTCACACAACCCGCCCTCCCCCTCACCCCCCCCCCGGGTTTTGTCGATATATGGGGAAGTTCACCATAATTTAGATGTTTATCCAGCAGACTAGGCAAGGAGGCTGTCATGTCACTGCTGTGAGGAGGCTGTCATGTCACTGCTGCGAGGAAGCTGTCATGTCACTGCTGTGACAACTGTTGCCATTATTTTAACGCCTCTTTTTTGAACTGTACAGTGTCCCTGTCGTTGTCATGTTGTTTACCGCAGTTCATCTAATTGTAAGTGGATGTGAAATTACGTAGAGGTTGTAACACGAAGATGACAATAATTTTTGCAAAATTATTTAAGTTAGCCGATAGAATATAAGACATTCATCTCTACCCTTAAAAATATATATATATATATTTTTCCATCTTAAGTTAACCCATAGAATACATTTTATTCATTCAAACATTAGGTTTACCCATAAAATACAGTATAGTCATTCCTAACTTAAGTTAACCCCTAGAGTACAATATATTCATTCCTACCTTAAGTTAACCCTTAGAATACAATATTTTCATTCCTACCTTAAATTAATCCCTAGAATACAATACCTTCATTCCTACCTTAAATTAACCCCTAGAATACAATACATTCATTCCTACCTTAAGTTAACCCCTTGAATACAATACATTTATTACTGCCTTAAGTTAACCCCTAGAATATAATAAATTCATTCCCACCTTAATTTAACCCATAGAATACTGTTTATTCATTCAAACATTAGGTTTACATATAACATGCCCCATGCCTTGCCACATAACATGCCCCATGCCTTGCCACATAGCATGCCCCATTACTTGCCACATAACACGCCCCATGCCTTGCCACATAACATGCCCCATGCCTTGCCACATAACATGCCCCATGCCTTGCCACATAACACGCCCCATGCCAATGCCTTGCCACATAACATGCCCCATGCCTTGCCACATAGCATGCCCCATTACTTGCCACATAACACGCCTCATGCCTTGCCACATAACATGCCCCATGCCTTGCCACATAGCATGCCCCATGCCTTGCCACATAACACGCCCCATGCCTTGCCACATAGCATGCCCCATGCCTTGCCACATAACACGCCTCATGCCTTGCCGCACAACATGCCCCATGCCTTGCCACATAGCATGCCCCATGCCTTGCCACATAACACGCCCCATGCCTTGCCACATAACATGCCCCATGCCTTGCCACATAACATGCCCCATGCCTTGCCACATAACATGCCCCATGCCGTTCCCATGCGTATAGATTACATGGCCAGAGCCAACCATAAGCGTTGAGAAGATTGACGTATACATATTAGCCTACGTGTATGCAACAGTTTTTTGTTTTTTAAATGTATCAAAGGCTTAACCTTGTTCTCAATGGCTGTAGAGTAGATTCTCCCAGTCAGATTCGCCTGTTGTCATTAGAAAACTACCACCGAGCTCTGAAAATGACATTTCCCAACAGCTAGTTCAAGTCTGGCGATACATTATCTGCACTAGGATCACTCAGCCTTGACCGTAGCAAGAATGCCACCCCCCCCCCCCCCGAGTCCTGTGTGCCTGTGAGCCATTAGCACGTTCCGTTATCCATAATTCACCAGTGATCGAAGAAGTGGCTCAGCGTAGGATGTTACGAAGTTGTTCATACAGCCGCACTGATAAAACATTAACTTGGTTACAGTCTGCCAAGGTTTGTTTTTCTTTTTTTTCTTTCAGTGGCAAACTAGGTCAAGAAAACTCGTAAATCGTTGGCCATTTCATTTCAAACATTAGTTTCGACAATATTGAGTTGGAGAGTATTTATTTGCTAAGTTTAAAAGTTTATATAAAGACTATTCAAACCTTGAAGCAGCGTTCGTTAAAATTATATACTACCATGAGTCGGTAATGATTTCTGTTTTTAAGAAATAAAGTGCTTAAATAAATGTGCTTATCTTGTCACACGTAAAATGGTCATATTTTATGATATCATTTATAAAGTCAATATTTGATTTAACCATTATCTTCCAACTGTTCTAACCCTGTTATCATGGCACATATTTCAAAGAACCATTGGTCAACAATTCAGACTCTGATTGCAGGAACTGCATGGCCATATTCTTGAGCCAGTTTCCTCCGTTAAGTACTTGGGTGTTACCATCCAAAGAGAGGTCCGCTGGGACGAGCACATTAACAGTGTGTGCAACCGGGCAAACAAGACCCTGGGGTTCCTAAGGCGCAATCTGAAGATCGGCAACTCAAGCGTGAAAGAAAAAGCCTATAAAGCCTTTGTCCGACCTATTTTAGAGTATGCTTCTACAGTCTGGGACCCATTTACCCAGAAAAGCATAGACAGGTTGGAGGCGGTCCAGCGACGGGCAGCACGCTTTGTCATGAACCGCTACAGAAGCACCTCGAGTGTTGGCAGCATGCTGGAAACACTGGGCTGGTCGACATTGGAAGAACGACGA